ACACCTTCGTGACTGACCGTGTCGAGCTGCTTTTGCGGGTTTACAAGGCATACAACACACACAGTCGCGCCGCTTGCCGGGCTTACCTCGGAGAGAAGTTCAGGCCTGTCCTCGGTGTGCCAGCAGACATGTCCAACGAGGATGCTGGCACAGAATTCCTCCGCAAGGTCGTTCTGCCTCACCTTGGAAACCAGAACGTCACTGAGAACCAGGACTATGACAAGTTCAAGATGATCCTGTTCATGATCCGGAAGCTCTATGCTCTGGTTGCTGGTGACTGCGCTCCTGACAACCCGGATGCTGTTTCCAACCAGGAGATCCTGCTTGGTGGATTCCTCTACGGAATGATCTTGAAGGAAAGACTCGAGGAATGGGTGAGGTCCTTCCAGCCAATCCTTAGGGATTGGTCCAACCGCAATGGCGGTGCCAAATTTACCGATCCGGCCTTCGAAAGGGATTTCCTGGCTAAGGTCGTCAAGCGCTCGAACGAGAATCTCGGTGGTGCCCTGGAGTACTTCCTGTCCACGGGTAACCTCGTCAGTCCTACTGGTCTCGATTTGCAACAACCTTCCGGTTACACAGTCATGGCGGAAAAGATCAACTTCTACCGTTTCATCAGTCACTTCCGCATGATTCACAGAGGTAGTTTCTTCGCCCAGTTGAAGACGACAACCGTCCGTAAGCTGCTCCCCGAGAGTTGGGGTTTCTTCTGCCCTGTGCACACTCCTGATGGTTCTCCCTGTGGTCTGCTTAACCACCTTGCGCACAAGTGTTTGATTGCAACTAGCGATGTGGACACTACCCATATCCCCAAGGCGCTGGTTCAGCTCGGTGTCCGCTCTGACTCCTCCGTGTCTGTGACCGAAAGCGTCACTGTCCAGCTTGATGGCAGAATCATTGGTTACTGCTCACCAAAACAGGCTTCTGCCATCGCCAACACCCTGCGACGCTGGAAGGTGATGGGCTCTGACAAGATCCCACGCGAGCTGGAAATTGGCTATATTCCCAACACCAACGGTGGCCAATACCCTGGTATCTACATGTTCTCGCAAGCCGCCAGAATGTATCGACCCGTCAAGCACCTTGGGCTCGACAAGCTGGACTATGTTGGTCCCTTCGAACAGCCTTTCATGGAGATTGCATGCTTGCCGCAGGATCTCATCTCCGGCGTGTCGACACACATCGAGTTCACCCCTACCAACATCCTCTCTATTGTCGCCAACATGACGCCTTTCTCCGACCAGAACCAGTCGCCTCGTAACATGTACCAGTGCCAGATGAGCAAGCAAACGATGGGTACGCCCGGTACTGCCATTCAATACCGTACAGACAACAAGCTCTACCGACTGCAGACGGGTCAAACGCCCATTGTTCGCCCCCCTCTCTACAACGCGTACGGTCTGGACAACTTCCCCAACGGAACCAACGCCGTTGTGGCTATTATCTCCTACACCGGTTACGACATGGACGACGCTATGATTATCAACAAATCCTCACACGAGCGTGGCTTTGGTTACGGTACGATCTACAAGACCAAGATCCACTCCCTCGACGAGAAGGACTCTCGCCGCGGCAAGTCCAGACGCGAGGTCACCAAGCTCTTCGGTTTCGCCCCAGGAGGCGAGATTCGCGCTGACTGGCGTGCCACACTGGACGAAGACGGTCTTCCGCACATCGGTGCCCGCGTGAAGGAGGGCAGTCTCGTCGCCGCCTGGCACACGGTGCGCTACGACGCCGCCTCCGACTCGTATGTCAACGTTGATGGAATCACCCACTTCGTCAAGTACAAGGACGCCGAAGAAGGATACATCGACAGCGTACGCATTCTGGGAGCGGAATCCGGAGTCGAGCCCGGCCAGGCTCTCAGCGTCAAGTACCGCATTCCCCGTAAGCCTATCATCGGTGACAAGTTCTCGTCTCGTCACGGTCAGAAGGGTGTTTGCTCTCAGCTCTGGCCCGCCGTGGATATGCCCTTCTCCGAGAGTGGTATCCAGCCCGATCTGATCATCAACCCTCACGCTTTCCCCTCTCGTAAGCCCCCCTTTCCTCAGCCCTAACCAAATTCAAAACTCACTAACCACCACCAGGAATGACCATCGCCCAAATGATCGAATCCATGGCCGGCAAAGCCGGTGCCCTGCACGGCCACCCACAAGACTCGACCCCCTTCCAATTCTCCGAAGAAAACACCGCCGCCGACTACTTCGGCCACCAGCTCCGCAAAGCCGGCTACAACTACTTCGGCAACGAGCCCCTGTACAGCGGCATCACGGGTAAGGAATTCGCCGCGGACATCTTCATCGGTGTCGTCCACTACCAACGTCTGCGTCACATGGTGAACGACAAGTTCCAAGTGCGTACCACCGGTCCCGTCAACCAACTGACCGGCCAACCCGTCAAGGGTCGTGCCAAGGGAGGTGGTATCCGTGTCGGAGAAATGGAGCGCGATTCCCTCATCGCCCACGGCGCCGCCCACATCCTCCAGGACCGTCTCATGAACTGTTCCGATGCCACTCGCTCCTGGATCTGTCGTGACTGCGGCTCCTTCCTCTCCACCCAGGTGGCTGTGTCCTCGGCTGGGTCCAGCAAGGCTCGTATTGCGGCTGCGAAGGCCGCCTCGAATCAGCATTCCGGCGCGAATGCTATTAGTGGGGCGCCGAGTATTGTCCGTTGTCGTCGCTGTGCCAGGGAGGCTGTCTTTGAGGATTCCCGGGCTGATGTTTGGGAGGATGGTGATGGTCGTCGCTATGTCGGTGGTGATAATGTTACGGTTGTGGCGGTGCCGGGTGTGTTGAGGTACTTGGATGTTGAGTTGGCTGCTATGGGTATTCGCATGAAGTTCTGGGTGGATAATTAGGTTGCATATATATTGATTTATCTGTGGGGGGGGGGGGATGATGATGATATAAAAAAGCAAACTTCTTTTTGTTCGTTGCTAGAATGGGGGCGCATTTTCAGCACTGCTTTTCGCTTAAGTTGCTTGATTTGTTGGCTTTTTGGGGATGTATGTATGTATGTTATGTATGCATGATGTATCTACTTCTATAACTATTTCATTTGGTTCTCATGGTATAGATGGTGTTTCTCATAAGTATCATCGTGTGTAGGGGCTGCGTGGTGTATTGATTGGTTTGCATTGACGTCGGTAAGTAGAATCGTACCCTCAGTGCTTTCTGTCTTGGTTGGGAGACAACTACTCTTGTTACAATTACTATATACAGAAGCATCAATAATAAATATCTTAAGCCTTAAATAAGAGTATCATATCCACCATACAGAACCCATCAGCACTTCCCACGCTTACAACTCCGACGTGACATTCGAGAACTCGCCCTTCTCCAGCTTCGTCTTCCAGAATATCGGGTTCATATCGTTAAAGCCGTGGTGCACCCATCCCTCTTCCTTGACATGGTACAGGTTGATGAAACCACCCGAGTACGCGTCACGGTGCATGGCAGCAAGGATACTTCTGCGGCCGAGCTCGAGGGCCTCCTCCTCGGTCAAGTCGTAGCGGTAGTTGGCGTCAAGCACACCATATGCAAAGGTCTGACCGGATCCGACACAGAACAGGTTTCCGGGGAGTCGGGTGCCGTCTGAGTCGATGTAGTAAAGAGCGGGTCCTTCTTGGGGCGTCATCTATCATCGTGGGTTAGATTGGGCATCGATGTATAATGTTCCTAGGAAGGTTTCACGTACTCCTGCTAACATCGTTCCCATGCTCAGACCCATTCCCTTGTAGGCATATGTCAGGTTGGCGAGAATCTTAGACGCAGCGGCGACAGTGATACGACGCTTGTGGCGGATTTCTGTCTTGGTGTTAATGAAGGTCTTGGAAGTAGTGGATGATTGAACTTGCCGTGAAGTGTGCATTGCTGGCTCAGGTATCTCAACCAGTATTGGCAGTCCTATAACTAGTCATCAGCTATCCATCTCACGGCCCATTATCCTAGCACAGAGCATGAATTGCTCCACAAGGATAGCACATACCGCAGCACCTCCGGCCATGGTGCCCAAAAGCCCGGGAGTGGGTTCATTTGACGGCTTGTCCTCCCCGCGGCTCAACCGCGAGACGGGAATAACCTTCTTGACTGTCTGACTCGCAATCCAGTTTCCAGCAGTAGCTCTCGAATCCGTAGCGACGATCTAGGAGAACAGTGGTCAGTGCAAGACGTGGCGGAGGCATTGATGACGGCATACAATTCCGCCCTGGAATCGGAAGGCCAGTGTCGTCGTTCCGTGGGCAAGTTTAATGGGGCAGCTGGGATTCGAGTGGTCATCGGTCATAGCACGGAGGAAGGCTCTAGACTGGAGATACAGAAGGATGTTAGCCACTGGTTCCGCGATTGGTAAGAGGCATGTAGGAGGGTCGGTCCGGTGTTCAGCCCGGTCTTAGGCAGCTGTAACGTTTCCAGAACCTGATCCTCGGACAAGAATTTTCAAGAGGTGTGTATCTCACGTTATCAACAGGAGGCAGGTTGAACTTCAGAGAGAGCGGAGGAAGGCTCTCTGTGAGGTCCCGCTGCTCTTGCTCTGAGTAGAACTCATTCTGATGCGGCGGGCGGGAGTATTGAGCGACCAATTTATCCATGATGTGCAAGATGTGTTGATGAATTCGACGAAGCAACGGGAAATTATACTCTGGAGGATAATGTTGGGTGCGAGAAGGACGATGGAAGAGGGAGATGGCGATGGCGGGTGCAGCTCGGAGCTCTGAGATGATGCTTGGAGCTCCAAGGCCGGCGTCCGCGTCACGCTGGCCGCCTGGATCACGTGATACGGTCTCCCACCAACTACGTACTATACGTGACTTTGCAGATAACTTCATATTTCTCATAGTTACGCAACTAATTACAATAACAGCCACTCTGCTGACACTTTGAGTACATGTTTTTCAGCTTCAGAGTGGCTATACACATAAGCCAAATACTGTACGTACTAGAACTACAGTTACAGATAACGAGCAAAGCTAGAAACCAAAGACACCACCTCCTGTCCTCAGCTCAGATGGGGACTGCCACGGGCTGAGCCTGCACCGGGACAGGGCTGATTATTTGCGGAGCTTCTGAGCCTCGCGAGGTGTATGAGAGTCGTGGATCTGGTGGTCGTGGCACTTCCTCTTCGCCCTGTGTTTTCAGAGTTTCCTCCGGGACAGAACCATCTACCACCTGATCCCGGCCTGTCTGGCTGGAGTATAGGTCCTGTGCAGCAGCAGGAGTGGTCTGTTCCTCAATAGCGGGGACTGATGGTCCCTCTGTGCCACCAGTGGCATACCGCTCATCAGCAGCGCTGGTGAAGACCTGCCCTAGTGGACGACCGGGGTATCGCTCCTCGCCAGCACTGGCGGCCACCGGCTCTTGAGCACGACTGGTATACTGCTGCTCAGCAAAACCGGTGGCGCTCTGTTCCTGAGCACGGCCAGCGTATTCTTCTGTGGCACTTCGATCCTCATACTCCTCCGGCGCGACTCCCTCGACATATCGCGCAGTGCCTCCATTGGCATAGGCTCCTGTGGTGCCACCATTAGTATACTGCTCCCGGCCAGTTCCATTGACTTGTCGCTCCGCGGCGTTCCCATTGACATATCTTTCCTGGCCAGTGCCGTTGGCATAACGTTCTTGGCCGGTGCCATTAACGTATCTCTGCTGGCCAGTACCGTTGGCATATTGCTCAACACCAGTGCCATTTGTATACCGCTCAGGACCAGCGCCATTAACGTAAGAAGCTTCTGCAGAACCATTGACGTCCCGCACAGAGTCCGAGACCGCTGTGTCAGCCGCATATGATGGGCGACCATTGGCAGCTCTACGGGCAGCAGTTGGTAGAAGGGTACTGTCTGGGAGCTCTCCTGCTGCACTTTGGATGGGTACGGTGGTACTCTCCCACGAACGGAGATCATTCTCGGCCTCCTCGAGAATTTGTCTCGTAGAAGATGTGCGATCGTACTCGTGGGGAGAGTCACCAGGAACGACAGGGGTGTCGTCCAGCAGTTCCAAAACGCGACGCGCATGGCGAGCAAGCAAGATTTGTTTCTCGTTTCGTTCAATGACCGCAGCAGTGTGAATATCCAATGCCTCCTTGAGCTTCGACCTGGTCTGAACTCGAATCTTTAGCTTCTGCGATATTGCATGCCGCATTTACATTAGTACTTACCACATTAGTCAACTGCGCCTCGGCAACAAGACTCTGAGCCTCCGCCCTGACTAGCTCCTGTTCCAGGGTATCGATCTTATGACTATGTGGCTCCTTCCACTTGAGTTTCTGGATCTCATCTGCAATCTTGGCCCGATGGTCGCGGGACGGCTGGACCGAGTTCTCCGTGTCGCGAATCTGCTTCAGCACGATGCGATATTCCTCGAGATACTGAGCGAAGGTATCCTCCTGCTCGCCGATCTCAGCCATCAAGACAGCCACCTTGTCGGTGATATCGGCGACGGCATCGTCGTCAGTCCATTCACCCCATTCGGACAGCTGGGACGCAATGGACACGCGCTCGCGACTGGCCTTCTCATGGGCACCAATGGCAGCATTCTCGTTCTTGATGACCTGGTTCAGCTTCTTGCTCAACTCGGGCTGCTGAAAGCCGCGCAGCGTGGAGAAGCGGAACCGGGGACGAGCAGTCAATGAGCTTCTCCTTCGGTGGGAGAGGTTGCGATTCCTAAGCTGGTCAGTATGCACAACATCATGTCTCTGGAGAGGCGGGAGTGATGTACATGATTGCGAACTAACTAGGATCTCCACGGTGCTGACTTTTACAATCCAGTGTTACACGAGGTAGTTGAATACAAATACAACGAGCTAACAATGACGGAGAAAGGTTGCACCTTCCTCGAATAATACTTAGTGTGGAACGGACGGATGGCAGATCTCATCCGATGATCGACAATTAGTTGCAGTCGCTATACCAATCAACCCACGATCGGGACATTGATAGATCAATTCTGTGGGGCACAGGGGGATAAATGGCATTGATCAATGGTTTAATTATTTCTTGCATTTGAACAAGAACCCTCTGGAAAGCTGGACAAAGACCGTGACGTCATGCGGAGGACACGGATGGGCATTGAGGTCATCGGCCGGTTGCAGTACAGCCCAGCCATGATGATTCGCATTGGTTCCATGGGAGGGAGAACTTAGTTGCTTATTGAACTCTATAGATGAAGTATAACGGGTATCTGATAAAAAGTAGACTTGCCCCAAGAGGAAGTCAAGCAAGAGTCATGATATCCTAGTAATTAAACCACATAGTATAAGCAAAACAGCTCTATATACTTGAACCAAAATAGTACTACCATAAACACCACCATCCCAACCTCATCCCAGATCCCACTACAGACTGACCACTACTGAGCCCGAATATACTCAACCCTCACCTTCCTCCTATCCACTTCCTCATCCACCTCTTCATCTTCCCCAACTACCTCCTTCCACCTCTCCCGTTCCCTAATAGTAGTACCACCACTAGGTCTCCTCCAACCCCCTCTCTCCCTCATAACCACCCACTCCTCCACCCTCTCCCGCTCCTCCTCTGGTTCAAAAACCCCCACACACTCCACCTCCTCCGCCTCCATATCCGGCAACCGACGGTACTCCCTCTCCCTCTCCCTCACATCAATAACCACCGGCGGAGGCGGGCGCGGCCACGGCCTTGCAATCCTCACTGGTCTTACAGGCGGAAGCGGAATGAATGTCTCCTCGACGTCTCGAATCTTAGTCCGACTTGTTCGGTGAGTATCTCGCTCTCGAGGTGCAGGTGGGGGCGGAGGTTTGCGAGACGGTTGAGGGGGATGATAGCTTCGCGGTGGAGGGCGGATGGAGATGGAGGTGGTAGTGGATGTGGATGTGGATGTGGAAGTATCGCTGCAGGTGCTGCATGTGCTCTTCGATCTTCTTCGTCGTCTGCTGAAGTGATGGTGGTGGCTGTGGTGGTGATGGCGATCGTGGAATCGTGGTGGTGGTGAGGGGGAGGAGCATCGGGAGGAGGAGTCGAGGTTTAGATTGAGGATTTTGGGGAGGGAGAGGGTGTCGGAGAGGGGGGGCAGGCACATTATTCTTTTTGCCTTTCGCTTTTGTGTTGTTGTTATTTGGGTTGTATGGGGTGGGTTTTAGGTTGAGGACGATAGAGAAGTCTTTGGATACGAGGTGAATGTAGTGAATGTACGGGTTGGATGATTTGATATTGAAATTAAGATCAGGCCTGGTCCAATGCAGAAATGGATGTTCAACTTGGTATCATTTAAGATGGAAACTAATTCAAAATCAGGACAGAAGAAGAAGAAGAGGGAGATACGCATGTACTCTATATTCAAGTTGATAGCCATGCGGGAATCACTTGACCGGGGTAACCTGTCATGCGGATGGTCGGGCCCGGTGATAGCGTCACCCAGGTGGATGTTAGGATATTATGAAGATTATTGGGTATCGGGTGAGTGTATCATATCCGTGATAGTGCTAGTTTCGGTTTGGTCTGAATGTCTGTCATGGGTGCAGCGAGGTTTTGAAATAGAGACAGAGACAGAGATATCGAGGTGAAGGTGGAGGTGGATGTAGAAGTAAGTGGGAGAAGTATGGGTTAATACTGGTTTGTATATGATGTTGCTAAGTTGGTCTGGTGACTCCTCCATGGGCCATGCATAGTGGTTACAAACCTTGATCTGAGCTACGACCAGCCAAGGCACAGCTTCAAGCTTCGATGTGCAGATGGTACTCCTGACAGCTCCGAGATCGGACACCTCCACCTACTCAATGTACAAGGATTAACAATGCTGCTTAACAGCTAATGTAGCAATCTCATTCACAACCCCTCTCTACACGGAAGGGGCTCAAGCAAAGCAAACCCAGCGCCAATTATTGGTTACAAGAGCACCACAAACACCGTGTCCCCCACCCCAAGGAATCCCGAAACCCAGCGATCAGCAGTTCTAAGCCATATCGTCCGCATCGTGGTGATGGGTGTTCTCATTATCCGATGCGTGGAATGCATCGCCAAACGCCGAGTTCTCCAGGTCTGGGAGGTCCAACCCTTCGTTCTGCTCGGTGTATGCGGCGAGCGCATCGCCTGCGCTATCCATATTCGTGAAATCGAAGTTGGCCCCGTCCAGCGCAGAGTCCCCGGCACTGCCCCCGTTTCCGGGTGTCAGGCCTTGGATGCCACTACCCGGGGTGCTGATGCCCGGTAGGGAGCTATCACCGCCAGCAGGCTGATCCTTCTTCTCGTCGTTGACCATCACCCAGTCGCCCGTTTCCCCGGCGGCCGTGTTCGTCGCCTGTGCATCGCCCATATCCATGTCGATATCGAGAGACGCGCCCTGCTGCGTAGCGTCGGCGGTGGGCTGTGGCTGCGGTGGCACGGATACGCCTCCAGAAGGTACACTGGTTGTGGGAGGAACACCGGGCACGGCTGTCGGTGCTGTTGGCTCTTGGGTGGTGGATGAAGCAGGAACGGCCCCAGCGGCAGATGGCGAGCCCAGTTGGTCAAGGAAGTGGCTGTCGGCATTCTCCATGTCAATATCACCTTCCGCTTGGGGTTCGGGTTTCTGCTCAGGCTCAATCTTTTCCAGCAGACCACCTTTCTGCACGCAGGAGATCTTGGGCTCCGGTACAATCTGTCGTTGCCACGATTTCTCCACCTCCCGTACAATGTCGTCAACCTTGTACTTAGCAGGATTCTCTACCTGAGGAGCCTGTGAGTCGTCATCTTCCGAAGGCATCACGACACGGCCTTCCAATCTCCAGGTCTCTGTGCCAGTTTCTGCAGGGTCTGTTGCGGCTTCTCGGAGCCGAAGTTCTGCGTCCTTCAACAGCGAGGTGCGGTTAAACTTCTCCATGCGACGCGCATGGCGCTTCTTCAACTTCTCAATCTCAGCTGTCATGTCAGCGACCTTCTTGGCGACACGGTCAGCAAATTCTTCCGCCTTAGCAGGCTCCATCTTCTCTGCGGCTTGAGTTGACGTGTTGGCATCCTTCGTCTCTCCACTGGCAGGTCCAACGGGTGCGTCGAAGAAGCCCGCCGTCAACGACTCCAGCTCTCCTTTCCGGCCCAGGCCCAATGAGACCGGAGTGATCTGGTTGATAGCATACGGTGAGGCGAAGATTTCCTCCATCCACTCGTGGTGTTGCTGGTATCTCATCTTGCTGATCTCGCGCGGAGTAAGCAGGTCCATGGCATCCCCAGTTGAAACGTCTTCATCTTCAAGTGCGAAGTCGGCTGTGGCAGCATTGACTGCAGCGGATGAAGCACGGTGCCCGCGCGCGGCCTTGGCTGGTGTTGCAGCGGCCGGAGGCGGCACACCCGGGCCAGGCGGGGGGTAGAACTGCTGGCGTCCCACCATGGCACTTGGATATGCGCCCGGAACCTGGGGGAAGCCTTGCGGGGCCATCTGCGGAGGGAAGTTAATGGCAGGCCAGTTGTTGCGATCGTGTAACATGAAGTCCTTGCGGGCGAGTTGGCCTTGGCTCTGAAGGAACCGCCGTTGAGCCAGCATGTTCTGGACAGGAGGCATGACGGGGATCCGATTCGCGGGGATGTGGTCTGTGGGAGGGCCTCTCGAGTAATGAACGATCCACAGGGAAGGGTCAGGCGGGGGGACATTCGGGTTGGGAACCTTCGACGGCAGAAGTCGGTAGCGTCTGCGGCAGTGGATAGCCAGGGTCTCGTTGGGTGGGTGATAACCACTGCGATGCAGCCACATCTCCACCAGCTGGAGCATTCCGTGTCAGCCATCAGCGCATCAACGTAGGAGAGGAAGAGGGTCAGAATGCGCATACGTAGCCGCGAGCTTCGAAGGTGAACGCTTGTTCGACGTCGGCCCAAACATAACCGTCGCTAGCAAAGTTGGTTCCCAGCTGGTTCAATGGCTGCCAGGTGAGCATGACAGAACCGTCCTGCGGACCATCGAGGAACGTCCAATGCATCGGTTGCGCCTCCCGGACGATCTTGGGCGCGGAGAGGAGATATTCGACGACGGTGTCGGTGGGCATCATATGCATAAGGGGATACCGGTGCCGCGACACCAGATGCATATGCGGCAGCTAATAAGCCATTTGGAAATTTCACTGGTTAGCAATCGGAGATTCTAGCTATGCAGCAGCACGTCTTAGCTGGATGACCTACCAACTGCGCGGGAACACGGCTCGCTGGGTCGTCCATGGTGAGGAGAGGCCGTGAAAGAACTAGGGAAGAGGGTATCAAGGTGGTCGCCTAGCACGCGGAATGTTTAGCGGATGGACAATTCGAAGCGCATCCGGTGATGAAAATGGCCGACAGGCGACAATCGAGCGCAAGCTGGTGAGCGGAGAGCAACGAAGGCCAACGCGACGCGGAATTTTGAGGTTCCTGGCCGATTCCCGACATGGCCCCTGCGGGCAACGGGAGAGACCTAGCGTGCAGATTATCTGCCTGAATCACCAGGCTGCTATAGATCCCGATTGAGACAAGATCCCGGCTGGCCAACGATCGTCGGAAAAGCCCACATTAATCCTTTCCCCAAGCGTGCAATTCGTGCATCCGATTCTCCATCCCCGCAATGTTGGGGTCTTATGGTTTTAGCCGCCCCCCAGACTAGTTGACCAACTAGATTCTCTACGTGGAGTGAGTCAATGAGCTGACCCCCATCGTCAAGGGAACTTCATGCCCTGCTTCATCTCTCTAATCGATCCAGGCATGCTTACAGTGTCTGGATTTCAAACTGCCGGTATGTCCATGCGAGGGAACCATGCAGTATAGTCGGCAAGGGTCTTCCAACGACTCATATTGAAACATCCAGCCGCGTCTTCTCGTCGTCCAATGCCTTTGCGACTTTCCCAACCAAGCCTTTTCGCAAAACTCGGTTGGATTGGATCCAAGCTTTGACCCGCCACCCACCATGCAGTGATGATTTCTCTCCGCACTCGTCATGATTGGGTCCTTTGGAGCGTGTCATTGACCCGAGCCCATGCGTCTCCCCTTCGGCTTTTTCATGCGCTTGGAGTGTAGCCCTCCTATAGTGCCGTTCGGCTCTTAGCAAGCGATGGCATTTTCCCTGAAATGGCAACTGTCTCGTCTGATCTATCCAGTAGTTCTCTCCCGCTCCCCTCCCACCCCTGCTTAACGTCATTATCCCTCACCTGCGGGGCGTGAAGAGGAGAGAACACATTCGCGTAATCGTGGTTCCTATTCGAAAAGGTCTTGCTGGTGACAGACCACGCGGATCACCCCTCCTGCATTGCGCTGGCGCTATAAATCTTGCTTCCGCCCTCCTTCTCTTGCATTCTGCCCTTGTTCGGTCTGACTTCTGCATCTGTTCCACTCCTTTCCGTTTAGTGAGTCATGGGGTTCTTTGGAAAGAGGGAAGCTCCCGGTGACGCTACGGGCCATGTCGATGCCATCGTCGAGGCTCCGGGGCCTGATCCAGAAAAGCAACAAGTCGCTCATGATGAGGACTTTCACACAGCGCTTCCCCAAATCCCTCAGGCCACACCTACCATTGATCCCGCAGTTGAAGCTCGCTTGTTGAGGAAATTGGACTTGAGAGTTCCAACGCTGCTAGGGTTCTTGTGTAAGCTCCAATATCCTTTCTAATTCCCCCACTCACTGTTTCACCGCTCATCCTGCTTCCTCTTATCCGGCTCTTGTCCCATGTCAGTTTTGGTCTTTCTCGGAGCGTATCTAATATGATGTGTACGTGCAGATCTTCTTTCCCTTCTGGATAGAAGCAACATTGGGTATGTTTTCTGGACCTTTGCATACCAGCTGTGACCTGTCGCCTAACATCGTGCCAGAAATGCGAAAATCGCGGGAATGGAAGAGGATTTACAGCTTACGGGAAATCGCTATACATGGCTCCTGACAATCTTCTACATATCCTACACTCTGTTCGAATTCCTGGCTTTGATGTGGAAAATTATGCCACCTCATAGGTGGGCAGCGATCACAGTGATGACTTGGTGTGTATAGACCCATAGTCTTTAGGTCCCTTGCTCGGTATTTCTGACTGATGTAGGGGCATTGTTGCGACCTGCCAGGCCGCAACACAGAATTGGGGCGGTATGATGGCTCTGCGTTTCCTGCTCGGCATGTCCGAAGCAGCATTTGGTCCCGGGTCACCCTATCTGCTTTCTTTCTTTTATCGTCGTCAAGAGCTCGGCCTTCGCTGCGGTTTGTTCTTGTCAGCTGCGCCTCTAGCCAATACATTTGCAGGCGCTCTTGCATATGGTATCACCTCGGGACATGCAAAGATCGTCAATTGGCGCTTGCTTTTTCTGGTTGAAGGCAGCCCGTCGCTGGTGGCAGCCTTCTTGGCATGGTTCTACTTGCCAGATCATCCCGCATCAGCCCGTTTCTTGACCGAAGAAGAGAAAGAGGTGGCACGCGCCCGGTCGCTCCGACGCAGTGGTGAAAGTGAGCGGGTGACCGGCATTAACTGGAAGGAACTGTGGCAGACCTTGCTGGATGCGAAGGCATGGCTTACTGCGGTATGTCACGGCGGCCCTTTCGATCGAGTGGTATACTGACAACAAGATGATATAGTTGATGTACTTTAGTTGCAATGTGAGCTTCTCCTCGCTGCCTGTCTTTCTTCCAACGATTTTGGAAGACATGGGGTTCACCGCGATCAATGCTCAAGGCCTGACGGCGCCGCCTTACTTCGCTTCATTCCTCGTTACGATCGCCACTACCTGGCTGGCCGATCGGCTTCAGCAGCGAGGTTTGGTGATTGCTTTGTCGTCGCTTATTGGTGCCATTGGATATGTGCTGCTTGCGACCTGCACCTCCGTTGGGGTGCGCTACTTTGGGGTGTTCCTGGCAGCAGTGGGGGTCTTTCCTTCGATCGCCAATATTCTCCCCTGGGTTCTGAGTATGTATTACGCCAATTTTGCCTTGATCATGTGACTAACATTTGAAATTAGATAACCAAGGCTCAGATACTCGACGGGGAATGGGCATTGTTATACTGAACGTCATCGGCCAATGCGGTCCTTTCCTGGGAACTAATGTCTTCCCGGCGAGTGACGCACCTCGCTACATTCGGGGGCAGTCAATTTGTGCGGCCTTTATGTTCTTCACCGTGATCCTAGCTCTGGCTCTACGGACACTGCTTGTTTGGGAAAACCGCCGTCTGGACAAGAAGTATGGCACTGCGGCCGAGAGGGCCGCCCAGGCGACCTCGAAGGGAGATCTCACCCTAGGAGAGGAGAATTATGGAGCAGATTACCGATATGTGCTGTAATTGGTGGATGGTCCTGTCGACGAGGTTGTTATGATGCTATGACTTATGATAACGTGAGGATGTATTCGGAACAGAGTATATAGAATACATGCCATGATATACATTCAATGCGAAATAAGCATGCCATTATTGTTGAAGTAAGCTAGGTGTCGATGTTGTATAGTTCTGGCCCTATTATTATAGCGGTGAGCATCTCCCGCAGGACATACATAGCGGCTGCTCGTCGCCAGCTCCGTCCCTACACTCTTCCATCGCCCAAAGCATTTCGGTTCAACACCATGGTCGGAAAAGCTGTTTCGGATGAAGGCTGCGTAATATGTGGATGGACTCATGACCAGCAATCGCGATGTTGTTATGACAATCACCTCAAGCTGTTCTACGCCGCACATGGCTGGGGCGTATGGTCAATTGGCACCGACGTGATTCTCAAAAGAGCGCCCTGACGATGGATCGAGGAATGAAGCGAAAGCACTGGAGCTCCTTGCCTCTTGCGTGATTGGGTCGATCGAGTCGGCCGTTACTTCATGATACAAAAACGAATAGATGGGGATACACTGGGAAAAGTCTGGCCTACACTATCACACGACCAGAAAGTCGCCATCGCAGACCAGGTGGCTGGCATCTGCAAGCATCTACAGTCCAATACATCGTCGAGTATACAAAGGGTGGAGCGAAGTGTCTGCGCTCCAGCTTTGCTCTTTTTAGATTCCGAACCTCGTGGTCCTTTTCACTCTGACCTTGAACTATGGAATGCCATTAGCCTCACCCTCCACAACCCATCCGAATGATCATTCCCTCAGAAAGCGTTGGATGGCTTAAAGAAACGTTTTACTAAATGCGCACATTACGTTCTCACTCACTGTGACCTCAATATAGGGAATATCATGGTTAAGGATGGGCAGCTTGTTGGCATCCTGGATTGGGAACATGCAGCATACTATCCCGTATGGTACGAATACATCTCAGCAACTTGGGGTCTCACCAAAGAAGATGCCGAATGGAGGATGTTATTACGACAGCGTCTCGATACACATGAAGATGCATAAACTTTTTGGATGAATTTGTATCATTTGCGAAATTATCCATATTTGGATGAAAGAGGCCAGGAAGTCCTGGATCGATTGTCTGCGGAGTGATTATGAGTACCCTTTCCGTTATGAAAGAATATTTTCTTATCATCTTGCTTTAAACTGTTGGGTTTGTTCTGGCTCCTACTATGCTTGTAGCGGGGCCATTGAACTATACACAACATGATTACTATTCGGTTTATGTGGGCCTGGATATCTTCTGCAGTGAAGACTGGTCACTGTATGTAGTAGTACTTGGGTCTTCTTACCCGCAATATATAAACTACTAATACACTACATGAAATAAAATGCCCGCAGATGAAATCATGATTAACTAGCAAATCAATTCCCAAAATTGTTTGTGATCACTACTGTGCGCACTAGTGGTGCTCTATTGGGCAGCACTAGCATGGAGGGGTCTCAAATATACTAATCAACTACGCCACAATGTGACTTCATCCCCCACGGAACTGAACCACAACTTCATCATTTCCACGTACTGAAGTTGAAGCTGCAGCAGATCCTCTTCTCATACAAGTTCAGTGAGCCAGATCTACTACTACCATCGATCATGTGCATCGCTCAACGACAAGCGCTAATTCGGGCGCACGCTTATCACCCTAGCAGCATAATAATGCCTTGATTAGGCTACTATCTCTACCATCAGTTGCATTTACGTTCATTCACCACATACATACATACATTTATCGCCTCATTAAATACTACGTCTCACACCAAAAATGGCGAACGCTTCGACCGAAACCCGGGACCTCTACGGCATCGTGGACATGGGCAGGTATACAAACCCCTCAACACACATTCATTCCTCTCCCCACTATAACTACCACACAGCTATATATTGAAAACACCTAACTAACAACCAACCAACTAACCAACCAACCAACAGCAATGGCATCCGTTTCTCGATCACAGACCTCTCCCCCCACGCCGCGCGCCTCATGCCCATCCTATTCCAAGACCGAGCCGGCATCTCGCTCTACGACGCGCAATTCTCCGGCCCCACGCGGGGCCCAATCTCACCCCGCACCACCGGGGAAGTCATCCACCGACTGGCCCAATTCCAACTCACCTGCGACGATTTCCAAGTACCCAAGGAGAACATCTACGTCCTAGCTACAGAGGCCACCCGGACGGCCTCAAACTCTGAAGAATTCAGAGCGCGAATCAAAGAATATACGGGGTGGGAAGTCACTCTCCTCTCGAAGGAAGATGAAGGGAGGATAGGGGCATTAGGGATCGCGAGCAGCTCTGCCTCCGTGGCAGGTATCGCCATGGATCTAGGGGGTGGAAGCACCCAGATTACATGGGTGATGGAGTCAGAGGGCACTGTTACGACGAGTCCGAAGGGCTCGTTCAGTTTCCCGTATGGAGCCGCGGCGTTGACGAAACGGTTAGAGGAGGCACAGAAACAAGGGAAAGATGCTGTGAAAGAGCTGAAGAGTGAGATGACTCGGAATATCCAGGACGCGTATCGCCAGCTGGATGTCCCCAACGCGCTGGTAGAGATGGCCCGCAGTCGAGGCAGGTTCGATCTATATCTCTGCGGCGGGGGGTTCCGCGGCTGGGGGTACGTACTGATGAAGCAGAGCAAAGTGAACCCGTACCCGATCCCCATCATCAACGGATTCCGCGTCAAGAGGGAAGACTTCCACGATACAGTCTCAGTCCTGGAAGTGATTTCCGATTCCGACGAGAAGATCTTCGGCGTATCAGAACGCCGCGCCTCCCAGATCCCCGCCGTGGCCGTTCTCGTGGACGTGATCATGGACGCATTACCGGAGATCACTCACATCCAGTTCTGCCAGGGCGGCGTTCGCGAAGGATACCTATTCGACCGACTATCCAGCGAAGTGCGAGCCCAGGACCCCCTCCTCGCAGCAACAGTGCCATACGCACCCCCCTCAGCAAACGCAATCAGAGACCTCCTCCAATCAGCACTACCCACTTCACCTTCACCCATCGCCTCAATCTACCCTCCCCCATCCTTCACCCCGAACCTAATCGCAGCCATAACTAATCTCCTCTACGCCCACTCCCAAGTCCCCCGTGAATCCCGCTCCGCCGCAGCCCTCCACAGCACCACGACGGGCCTCCTCTCCTCCACGAACTGTCTCTCCCATGTCGAACGAGCCCTCATTGCCCTTGTGCTTTGTGAGCGTTGGACTGGAGACCTAGCGCCCATGGACCAGGCGTACCATAAGCAACTGAGCCGGTGTCTCACGGCGCAGGAGGTATGGTGGGCTCGGTATCTGGGGAGAGTAGCTGTTCTGGTCGGGGACGTGTATCCTGCTGGGAGGGTGGAGGGCCAGTGGCGGATCCGGATTGAGACGCAGTGGGAGGAGATCGAGAAGAAGGAACGGCGTGATTTGTTGAGGGTGAATTTGTGGAAGAATGTGAGGTTTTTTGAAGTGCTAGAAGAGAATATGTTGCGGGAGAGGACGGAGAAGGTTGAGAAGATTGGGAAGAGGAAGAAGTGGGTAAGCGAGTATGGGGTCAAGGTTAAGGTGAGTATTCTCTAGTAGTAGTTGGATATATTGAGCTTTAGGCAGTATCTACAGAGTATGGAGGGGTAGCTTGGAGGGGTAAATTATGTGTGGGATATAGTGGTAGACATATGGTTCGGTATATGTTAGCCAGGGATTTCAGGAGCTATTGCTACGGGAATACAAAGGAAGATTATTTGCTCTACAATATAGCTGATCTGCCCTTCGTGCGACTACAACAGAGTTGACTGGGAGGATGGGAGATGCTTATCTCACGTCATCCTGGGCATCCTCTGAGACGCTCAGACTCAGCCGTTCGACTGCTGGCTTGCGCATTCCAAGCAGTGCGTGCGAGCCTGTCAGCCTCGCCACTGTGACTCACTCAGTCACAGGTACCCCCGGATACCCCCATCTACAGGCAGATACACGCTCAAAGCGTATCCGTAGCCAGAGGCTAGAAAAAACGATGGTTGAGAGACTGAACAGCGATGGTATTCATCCCAATAATAATCCGATAAACTCGAAGAACATGAATCAATCATCTGGAAGGTCATTCCATTTGAAAACCCGTTTCCACACACAAAAGGTGAGTCGATAAATAGCTTTAAAAACATCACTAAACGGGCCCCCGCTTGAAAAGAGAAAACGAAGGGATGGCCTTCCCCCCTCTTTCCAAGCGACATTGTGATGAGATACGCATCACATGGTTTTGCTCAGCCCCTCAATTTCCCATCACGCCATTTGAAACCCGGGGAATCGTTCGTCGTTTTGCGGTTGTTCATCGAAGATTTAGCCGTTTACTGGGTGGGGTTGGCGTTCATCTGTAGATAGTAGAAAGGATATGTGTAAGCCGTACTGAACCTTTATTCCAGACTCTCTTCTTCGTGCCATGTCTAATTTTGGGATCTGTGCCAGGTCGGTTTGGTTCATTCATACCTTGCGCTTGCCACCGGTCAGGGTAACGTTGACGAAACGGCGAGTGTAGACGAGTCTCTTGCGGGCACGGCCCTTGGGGCTCTTGGGCTTCTCCTGCTTCTCAACCTTGGGGGTTGCGCTCTTGACCTTACCGGCACGAGCGAGCTATTGGTTTTGCGATGTTAGGTTAGATGGATGATGTCTTCTTGCGTTGGGATACCGTCGATGGATGAGGAGGCGAGGCTTACCGATCCGTGAACCTGGAATCAAAGGCATGTTAGTTATTTCCATCATTTCATCGATATCATCATTTTGAGCAGAGGGGATTATCTCAGTTTAACATACCTTACCCATCTTGGCGATAAAATCTGACCTTCAGATACAACAAGGAGGGATTCTGTCGATGGCGTTTGTCGGGGTTGCGAGTAGAGGTCGATGGGTGTGGAATTTTCGCTGTTTCGCTCAAGGTCACGCGTTTGTGCGGTGGCGCCCCACCGGGCTTCTTGCCGCTGCCCCCTTCGGTTAGCCGGTTACATAAGACACATGTGCCGGGGGTGCTGAGTAATATAGTCTTATGCTGTGGATAGTTAGATGTCCCAAACTGGTTAGTGCGGGATTCCTTTCGGCTTTCGTAAGTGGCCTCAGGAATCAAGTCAACCAGACTTGGGCTCTCTATTGAAATTCGAATAAGCTGCGCCCGCAACCATGCTCTCTCATCATATTAGCTTGGGTCTGGGTTATATGTCTCCGTTTCTTGAGTCAAAAACGCGGACTTGTGAACACAAACATAGCTCCGTCGACTTATGACGCACTCAAAAATGCAGATATTACCCTGTTGAAACTGTCCGGGAGGTGTGCTCAATATGCTTATGCTCAACCGCAATCCTGGGTCAATAGTAGACTCAAGCATTGGTAAGGCTATTATACCAGCAATTTCATGATTCCGGCTTTAGCATAACGGCACTGTATCCCGTCAGTATAAATCAAGAAAGTACCTGCTTTCGATATTCGGAAGCCAGGAGGAAGTCACCTAGTTGCGTACCGACGAGACTAGTTGCCTATTAAAGAGAGCGACCCGCCATCAGACTGCTGGCTTACGTCGGCTTTGGCATGTCTTCCGGTTCCCTCTTCTAGACCACCTTGGACTCGGATCTCTAAGGGACCTCGCCCGATACCAGGCATTTTGTGGTGCGAGAAGGACTCATGAGGGCCGAGAAAAATTGGTTTTTCCCCTTGACATAGTTTATTTATTTATTTATTTTTTTTGTCGATAAGATGAAGCTTCTATACGACGGTCAAGGGACATGGGGTGCTGCGAGAAGTGTTCCTCCCTTGTGCTTAGCAATAGGGCCCCCGTTCTAGGAATCTGGCATTATATTCTGCGCTCTTCTCCTAACCCCGAAGTGACAGTTTAGATCAAGGGTGGAATGAATCGTTGGTCATTTGAAAAATCAATTGAAGATATTTGCATGGCAAAGATGCAGAAAGTGTAGCACATATCAACAATATCACCTACAACAAGAATCGCACCAGTGTCAAGATGAAGACATCATCATGATCAAGAGAATTGATTGTTGTCTGCACATATAGGCCTAACTATACTCCTTTGTCTGCATAGGCCCAGTTCTAGAGAGCAGACACATGAATATCCTGGAGGATGAACTAATGAGGGAGCTACGCATCTGGAATATTTTTTCCTTCAAGATATCAAGGGGCTGTATGGCTACTGAATGAATCGTTTATTCTATGCGGTAAGAAACATATGTTAAATTGTAGCAATAAGTCTGTAAGGTAGAGAGTGTCCTCCCAAGTCAGCAAAGAGGATAATGTACTTGGGATACCTGCTTTGCTAAGACCTTACCACTTCGAGCACTAACAGGAGGCTCGATTCCTTCCTGGCCAATAGATGAGTTACTGTACAGGCATTGCTGTGGCAAGGCCCCTGATGGAACCACCAGCTCTCCAATATTACTCGCCACGCCTCAATAAATTCTTTGGTAAGTCTTGCGAGGTTCATGGGAAAGGCCGCCCATTATGGCGTGACACTTGCAGGGATGCAGCCCCTATCCGGACATGACCGGTTTGTTCAATATGCCGGCTTCAAATGGTCCACTCATTCGGACCATTGTGACTACATTTTCTTGACTACTCGACTGGCGTCTAGACACTTCGAAATTATTATATGGTTATTGAGTCTAATGGATTTGGACCCAGACAGTGCGGGACTTGTTCCCGATGCCAAACTCGTCAAAGTGGGAGTTCAGAAGTTAGTTCATCATGCATCTCTAGAATGTATTGATGCCTAATACATGGAGCAGGCTAGTGATGGATTCAGTCAGAGAGTCTAGAGGCCAGGAGACTTTTCTCAGAGGCCTGCAATAACTCCCGAAACTAAACCACACACCATAGAGTGAGGTTTTGATTTGAACCAGACATGCACGAGATTGGAAGCGTGGGGCTTACTGGTACAGACAAATGAATATGCTGACCTTAAGACTGCGTATGAGTCATGATTATGGTATGCCAGTGCAGAGACCGTTGCTGTCGTGTAACAGGCCCCCAGGCCCCAATTAAACGCTTCGAAATGATAGCTCAGGCAAACCACCCGAGTTGTAAACAGTCTGGCCGGAACTACTCAAGTCGAGAACTAGATATTTACTCCAATAATGAGGAGACGGACCCCGCGCATGCGGAGTTGACTGCGTGTACAAATAATTGGGACTAGACATCCCCCTGATGCTGTTGTCACCAGCAGACCTTGCAAGTTGGGTAGTGGTTCACGATCATATGAACGCTCTAATGAGGCGACGAGTTGCAGGTCATTGGATGCCTTACAAAATGGTCGAAACTTCAAGATTGGTGCTCGATAGTGCCTAACTTATGGGCTCGAAGCGACTGGCAACACTTCCTTACCTTGGGACCCCTCCCGAACCGGGATGAACATGTTTGGCAAGGGATTAGCAATTCGACGAGCTGCAGGATTTCCGTCGAGATCCGAGTGATATGTCGACCTGCCACTGCCTACAGTACTTTGGACATAAGTATTCCATCGGTGTGGAGCGGAATTCCGATATGTCCATATCCACAACCACGTTGCATTGCGTCGCAACGGCGCTGGCATGTGCGTACTGCGTAGGCAGAAACATCCGACGTATAGCAAGCAGTGACGAACTGATCCACTGCAAGGTACGTGGTATGCCCGGGATGTGAGTTGCTTGTTCCTGTCTATCCGAGCGGGGGTACCTGGCAGTCGGTGAGCAGGCAGCCAAATTGGCGGCTGTCATTGGGCGTAGCGGAGGGAATCTGAAACGCAGGTGGATCGGCGGTGACGGGGAAGTTGAGTTTGTTTGAGAATCGCGGTGGAGGGAGGGCGATGCCTAAGATCAGTGGTGGACGGGGATGCGATTAGGTTTGGCTATGATAATAGTGTAGTTCGTGGGATTGAGTTGGTAGTGCCATGTGTTTTGCTTGATTTTCTTGGTTGAGGGGGAATTGTCGATCGGGAGGGGAAGACAGAAGAAGAATGGACTGGGACAGATATTTGAGTAATACAACGTATGGGGTTCAACTATCTAGTAATAAACAGTAAAAAAAAGGAAGTAGTCTTGTCAGCTGATGTGGTGCATTGTTTGTCTTTGCAGCAGATGAGTTCGGAGAGTAATTCAAAGAGAGGGAGAGACTCGATTTGATCTCGGCAGTCACACAGAATAATCATCGCTGGCTTTTCTTTTGATCGGGGGTGGAGACTGCCGGTACAGATGCAGTGATCAATGACTGACTGACTGACAGACTCGAAATCGAGTCCACTCTTTGTCTGCCATGATCGTTGTGTTTCCCCCTCCTCTTCCCACACTTTGCTTCTGCTGTGCCTGGTTTCATGTGACTGATTTTCTTCATTCCGGCGACACGTTGAGCCAGTCACAGTCGCATTCTCACCTGTACCTATTCTCAACTCAACAATCAGTTAACTCCTAAATTCAAGCTGCTTTCAATATTCAGTTCATAACCATCATTATCAACCTGATCGATCGGTGGAGTCTGATGCCGTTGCGCCACCGTCATTAGTTCCCTGCTGAGACGCTCCACGGCCGGGACGCATCACCATCCCCATCGGCCAGTGAGGGGCCCTCCAGGATGGATCGCGGCCGTCAAGCAACAACACCACTAGCTGACTACTTAGTGATGCTTCACACCTTGAACCAATAGTGTATCGACTCTATCCCTCAAAATCGGCTAATCATTCGATTCTTTGCTTCTTCCGTGCCTGACGCCATTGCTCTGCTGAAACAAACACAAATCAGCGAATAAAGGCCCGGCACTCGTCGGTGGTCGCCGCCTACAGCCCTTTCTCCGCCCGACAGTGATAATGGTGGCTTTGACGCCACGCAACTCCCAAACGTCAGACGGGACAAAAATATCCCACCCCCGGGAAAGGGCTGGGTAGAAGGAAAGGGAATCCCTTCGAAAGGGGGATATGCCAATTTGCCAAGCAGTAGAAACCTCCCTTCTATGTAGCTCGTCTACAGATTCTGCATCTTTGCTGCAGAATGGTACACTTGACGAGAGGTCAACTATGGTTGCGGTGTGGTTCTTAGGGCACAGAAAATATCAGCATTACATGAGGGGAACAAGTGCATGGCGCCCAGACGAGGGGAATGCCTTCGAGTCTGGACTGCAGTGGGGGGCGCGCTGTGGGCGTTCATCCCGATGGTGAACTAACAGCCACTAAACTAGTGCTGCCCTAAAGGCGCGGTCTGGCCGCTGCCAGACGGTTGGCCGACATGGCCCATCACAGAACCGGATTGTCGAGGGCGATTCTGTCGAGAGAAAAGACTGCACAAAAGTACGAGATGAAAATGATGTTGTTGGGTAGATATACACCTCCATTAAAGTAGGGGGAATAAGTCGGATACATCCACTGGACCGATCAACTGCAGGTATCCGCACCGCTGCAGGAACAACCACCGCAAGGTTACCCCCGGACGCTTGCTGTCCAGTCACTGCCAACCGCCAGGCACACGGGCTGAATAATGGGCGTCAATATTTCTCTGTCCCACTGTCCCTGAGCAACACACGGTACCCGCCCGATGACGTTCCATGGGTCGGCCGCGGTGAGGATGCAGGGGGGTCAGGAACGCTCCGACGCAGGCAATCAGAGGGGGTCGTCGAACAATGGAAAAAGCAACGATTAGTGACTAGTTCGACTTTAATCATGCAAGAGCAAAAAAGAACCTTCCTCCTTGTGGAGACCTGATTGGTCGGAACCAAATTGGCGCCTAGAAAAAGCACCCAGCCCTAACTTGGTTCTGCAACTGCCACTCCCCGTTGTTGGGCGTCTATATAACCGCCCTCTT